GAGCTACAACACTTTGCAAAGTTACAAATTTTTGAATTTTATTTCAGCGTATATTGAGTTGCCTACATCACAGTCACTGAAATTAGTTGAAATCATTACGAAATACTATAATTCTGTAACTAATGAGTCTTAAATCACTTATTGATAAGTTTATATAACTAAAAGCTTTTCCTTATTGAAGTAATAAGTTAATATAGTCTGCAAAGCCAATAGTTATCTGTATATAAGACTGAATTGAATCAAAAATTCTTAAAACTTTTCTAATGATAAATTGAAAAATAATATTATCTAAAGTATCTCGAAAGACTAGAAAGCTCAAGAATTGAATTTATTGATTTTGTCTTAAGTTAAGTTTCTACTTCTACTATACAAACATAGTCTTACAAAGACAGATATCATTTGTATACTTTAGCATCTCATTGAGCTACAATAAGGTTGTAAACTGAATATTCCTGAAAGTTTCAGTAGAATAATAATACAAAAGCAGATTAAGATTTTTTGTTTATTTAAGCACCATTTTCATGCAAAAAAAATGTTTAAATAATACAATTTATATTATGTATTTATTTTTTTATATATATATATATAAAGTATGACCACTAAAACTAAGAACTAAAATATATATATTTGAATATCGCCTCATACACGATAATACCAAAGAAACATAGGAAGAAACTGAAAATAATTAGAATGGAAATAAGTACAGAATCACAAAAAATTTCGTTCTCTTCTCTTTCTCTTTAAAAAAAACCCACATACGTTATATATATATATATTTTTTGTATACAATATACTGACTGAGATTGAAAATATTCCGTCTACTTTTTGGGGAGCTACAACACTTTGCAAAGTTACAAATTTTTGAATTTTATTTCAGCGTATATTGAGTTGCCTACATCACAGTCACTGAAATTAGTTGAAATCATTCGAAATACTATAATTCTGTAACTAATGTAGTCTTAAATCACTTATTGATAAGTTTATATAACTAAAAGCTTTTCCTTATTGAAGTAATAAGTTAATATAGTCTCAAAGCCAATAGTTATCTGTATATAAGACTGAATTGAATCAAAAATTCTTAAAACTTTTCTAATGATAAATTGAAAAATAATATTATCTAAAGTATCTCGAAAGACTAGAAAGCTCAAGAATTGAATTTATTGATTTTGTCTTAAGTTAAGTTTCTACTTCTACTATACAAACATAGTCTTACAAAGACAGATATCATTTGTATACTTTAGCATCTCATTGAGCTACAATAAGGTTGTAAACTGAATATTCCTGAAAGTTTCAGTAGAATAATAATACAAAAGCAGATTAAGATTTTTTGTTTATTTAAGCACCATTTTCATGCAAAAAAAATGTTTAAATAATACAATTTATATTATGTATTTATTTTTTTATATATATATATAAAGTATGACCACTAAAACTAAGAACTAAAATATATATATTTGAATATCGCCTCATACACGATAATACCAAAGAAACATAGGAAGAAACTGAAAATAATTAGAATGGAAATAAGTACAGAATCACAAAAAATATTCGTTTTTCTTTCTCTTCTCTTTAAAAAAACCCACATACGTTATATATATATATATTTTTTTAAAAAGCCATTAAGTAATAACTCAGTATAGTAAATAAGAAATACATATAAGAATCGCATACATACATCGAATGGAATTTTTGCGTCGGACTTAAATACACAGTTTTTTCCCATTTTTTTTCCTCATTGTATTATTATTATTATTATATATATAAATATTGTATAAAAGTATAAAAACCATTACAAAATATAGAAGTATCAAAAAAAACGTTGTGAGCCCTTCCTATTTTATTTCTGCTTTCCCTCTATTACACTTTATCTGGTTGGTGTTCAGCTTTTGTTGTTGTTGATTTTTCTTTATATAATATTTAAACAAACTTTATTCTGAGAATATATATATATATATAAAAGAAAGATGACTATGTTATGTGTGTGTTAAATGTAAATCGGCAAAAAAGGTGTCTCTCTCCGTTCTTTTATTTTAAGTTTTGAATTTTTTTGTTGTTGTTTTTTTTTGGGACGACGACGAAGGGAGAAGCGCGTGGAAGTAGTAGGCGGCGCGCAACCCTTCGCCATCTAGATCCTCGGAGATCGGTGCCCTTTTTAAGCGCTCTTCTCCTGATCGATGGCCTCCTTCGTCGGCAGCGGGTTCTTCTCCTGGGTCTCGGTGTGCTTCATTTTCGTCCTGTCGAAATTCTCGATGCCAGAGATGAAGTTCTTTTGGCCCTTCTCCTGCTCGATCACTGCACATTTCATAAATACAAATTAATTGACGCTCCTCTTTTATGTACAAATAATTAATAATTAAATAAAAGAAATTCAATGATTGAACCTTCTGGATCTGGAAGCACGTTCTTCTCGGTGGTCAAGGCATGCCTCATCGTGGTTTTATCGAACTGTTCCACGCCGTTAATCAAGTTCTGGTGAGTCTTTTCTTGCTGAACGACTGCAGGGGCCGCCGGCACACATCATGCATATTTTTTTTATTTTATATATAAAAAAAAAGCCGCAAGCAGGCGCAGGCAAAATATTATACAACAAAAACGAGCAAAAACATACGAATTAGAATCATGCAAAACTATGAAAGTTAAAAGTTATGTCTTCAGCAATTATTATTATTGTTTCTAAATAAGGGCGAAACGATGGTTTTCGTAGCGTATTTTCTTCGTGCTTTACTCAAGCAAAGCTTCAAAGCATAATTTAGTCATTTGCATCGTCTGCACTCATTTCGCACTCAACAAATTATGTATAATATCAAAATTTTAACTAGTTAATTCAAATTTAAACACAAAAAATACCAATCAACTAACACTAAATCCAAAAAAAAAATTAAACAAACTATCAACAAAACAAATTTTTAACTTCTTGCAATCATGCAGTTAAAACGTAAATTACGGCGTGAGATATGGAGATTTCTCTTCCCCAAAAAAATTTCTCTCGCTCAATGGAAGAAAGTGGTTCGCGAATCGCAGTTTGAAAGTTTACAACAACAAGAAACAATAATATCTCATGCAAAAGTGTGTTTTTTTGTTAAAATTTCTGTAATATTTACCGTCTTTATCTGGCAACGGATTCTTTTCCTGAGTCTCGGTGTGCTTCAGTTTGCTCTTCTCGAAATTCTCGATGCCGGTGATCAACGCTTTCTCGTTCTTCTCCGAGGCAACATCTACAAAAATCGGGACAACATTTCAATTATTAAAGAGTTTACATACAATTGTTGCTGATGCAGAAATTAATCGTGTTATAAAAAAAAAATGCGAAACACACACACACACACAAAAAAATAGTTAATTGGCGTTAATTTGTTGAAGCGTCTCTTTCTTTCGTCGCCAAAGCACCTCTCCTCGTGCGTTACCTTGCGCGTTCGGAAGGACGATCTTCTCTTTGGTATCTGTGCGCTTTAGGGTGGACTGTTGGAAGTTTTCGACGCCCGCGATGAGCGCGTTGTGCGTCTTTTCCAATTCGACGTCTGCTCACAATCGAACAAATAAACATGTAACGTTGACTCTTCGCTCTGTGCAGTGTTTAAACACTGCACGAAAACCTCGTCGATTTGTAGTGTATATATATATATAAATAAAGAATGAGAGCAGCGCAAAGCTGTTACCTTCGGCTGAAGGCAGGATGATCTTCTCCTGGGTATCGGCGTTCTTCAAGTTGTTGGACTTGTTGAATCCTTCCAGTTCGCTCTTCAAGTCGCCGGCGACTTTCGGGAGGTCCTTGAGGGATGGAGCTGGGCAAGACATCTGCAAACAGAGAAAGAAACGTTTCAGTAAAAGTGAATCACCAAAGAGTTTATCTACAATAAAGTTATCGCGGTTTTACACCGCGAAAAATTATGGAATTACACTGGGAATTTTTCTCTCTCTCTCTTTCTATATATATTTCGACGGAATCGTTTGAAAAGCACGTCAAATGTGACGGCAGATTTAATGAATTTAATTTGGACGTAACGAAGGCAAATTAAATAAATAAATAAAGTAATTTCGCTGTGAAACGTGTGTAAAAAAAAGCAGTCTTCGTTGCGGATCCGAGCCTAATTAATCGTATGGATCGGTCTAGTAAGCACAACCGCAATTAATGCCGTTAACTGCGTTCGCTCGCTCGTAATAATCTCTTCTAGTCTGGCGTGGCCCAAATCCAAATTTATCGCGAAATTACAACGCGTAATGTAATGTTAAAGAAACATAAATAAAAATAAAAGTTGCGACGTATTCGAAAATTATAAAATGAAATAAAAAAAAGGGGGACAGGTTGTGGAAATCAATTTGGCGCAGAAGAATCCGTATACGGCTTTGACCATATGGCGCGCGTTCATGTTCTTCTAAACTTCTTCCAATTTCGCTTATTAATGCAAACAAACGATATCATACGCGAGGCCTTCTATAAAAGGATTAGAACACTTTTCGAGCCTGACTCATTTCTAGCACCTTTTAAGGACAATCCAGTTATAATTTACAATAATTAATTAAATTCGCAGGTGATTTCACTTTGCATTTCGAAATTATTATTATTTTTTAATTCTTCAAGTTACAAAACTTGCGAGATGCAATGCGCGGTTCTCTCGAGTGCATTCACACCGCGTCGTCAAAGTCGGCAAGTGCACACGTCTCTTCTTTTATTCCGCGTTTCCTTCTTTCGCCTAGGTCATCAATATATCGGAAAGACGAGACAAGAGTCAAGCATTCCTTTCGAATTCCGCGCAATTGTTTTGCTTCTTTTGTTTTTTTATAAAATTAAGTAGACGTTGATAATAAGGATTGTGATGATGATGTTGATGATGAATCGCTCGTGCTTAGGACAAACAAGTTATCAAATTCCTTGATGTTATTCGATGATATTTAATAAACACCATCGATTCCAGTTGCTTTGGTTTGTCCTCTGCATGTTGCCTTATGTCGCTAAAGTAAGAAAGAAACTCGTGAGTCATGCGTTTCTTCATCCATATGGATCCACTCGAAACGTCATAACAAAATTCCATTAAACCTGTCAAATTCCACAAATTGATTACACGCTCTCTCGCAATACCATTGCAATAATCAACTGTTTTTTTTTATAAAATTTTACAACAAATGTAACTGAAATATGTATAAACATTCACATTTTCTTTGTAAAAATTGTAAAAATTTATTATAAACTTATGAAAATTTATATTTAAAGATTTAAAAGTGAATGAAAATGTAAGAATTTACAGGCTAAAGCAATTGTTTCACAATGAATTAAAAAAAATATATCAAGTTTGCCAGAAACAAAATTGTAACTTAAAAAACAATTATAGGTTTTTCTTTGTAAAATTTGTAGAAATTTATTATAAACTTATGAAAATTTATATTTACAGAATTAAAAGTGAATTAAAATGTAAAAATTTACAAGCTAAAGCAATTGTTTCACAATTAATTAAAAAAATATATCAAGTTTGCCAGAAACAAAATTGTAACTTAACAAACAATTAAAGTTTTTCTTTGTAAAATTTGTAGAAATTTATTATAAACTTATGAAAATTTATATTTAAAGATTTAAAAGTGAATTAAAACGTAAGAATTTACAAGCTAAAACAATTGTTTCACAATTAATTAAAAAAAATATATCAAGTTTGCCAGAAACAAAATTGTAACTTAACAAACAATTACAGTTTTTCTTTATAAAATTTGAATAAATTTATTGTGAGAATTTGAAAATTATAAGCTCTAATACGCATTTAGAAAAACATGAGGCTTATTTTGGTAATCTTAAATATTATAAGATTTGATAATCAAATTAAAAAGTATGCAACCAAATATGGTTTAAATTTATTCACCGATCCGAATAGAAACGTCAAATTTGATGGACATGTTGTAAATTGCCATGGAAACATAATGTATTTAAAAAAATAATATTATCTATTAATCTAGGCGTGCTTGATTTGAAGATCAAAGAATAAATTATGAACGTAATTCCGGTTCCTGCTGTCATTATAATTCTAATTTACGTTACTTTTATAACCGACAGATATTAATGGAAAAAAATAATTATTGTGTATTGTTAATTATTTGTGCTGAATAACGAAAATTGAAACATCTGCGTTTTCAAATTTACTCGCTGGAATTTCCATTCGATTCAATGAAATAACTGCATTAATTAATAGTATGTTAACATTAAAACCCCGACAGATTAATAGCTTTTTCATCTCTCTCTGTAAACATCATATTTCCAAAAAAACACTAATTAACAAATAAGACTTTTGAAGACTGAGAGACTTCAATTGTTTCGGTGAACTAGAAAAAAAAAGTTGAAGTAGTTCAAGCCTTCTCTAAAAATCTGAAACAAAAGTTTCAACTGTTTCGCCTCGACCTCTGCGATATAAATAAATAAATTAAACGTCGGGAACGTAGTGTGAATGCTGTTGATTGTTGATTTATCTGCAATCGCAGTGCAATGATAAGTAAATATTAACGCAGTTTGCGTTCCAGACAAAACTGGAATATGAAATTTATAAATTTAAATTTAAAATTTAATCTTTGATTATAAGTGTAGACATCAAGGATTAAGTGAATTACAGACAATAAATAAATTTATTTATAAAAATTAAATAAAATAAAACGGAGAGGTTGATGATATGTGATGTGAAGGTTTTTCTTGTCTGCAAGGCTGAGAGAGGTATTTGCAAAACGGCTACTACTTAACTATTCAGCTCATGATGCATCTCGTTGGTAGCGGGACAAGAAAAGAAGTCGATGCGAAAGTTATTTTTATAAAGGACGAAAATCCGCCAATAGAAAAATGATGTTTTTTTTTTATGAAAACTTGAATGTTACAGTTTGTTATGGTTTTTCGGTGCAATTGAACCTCAGCACGACCCACGGATGCGTCCGCAAATGGTGATCTGCCCACCATATGGGCATTAGAGCTCAGAAGAGCAAGGTTGAATCGAAAATCAGAAGAGTTGTTGCTGGATGAAGAGAAGAGAAGGAGAGAAAGGAAAAAGTAGGTTATTGTTGCATCGACCATATGTATGTACAAAACGAGTGCGGCGACGATGGTAACGCTCCACTCTCGAAGAATAACAGAATAATTGCGTGTACAAGAAGGCTGGGTGCGAGTTGCTTTTTTTTTTCTTTAGTTTTGTTCGTAATTAACGGCCACCCGAAAAAAAAAATCAAGTTATGAATAGAGCGGACTGTGTGAAAGTTTTTTTTTTATGTACTTGTTTTTGTTTGTTCCGCATTTGTATAATCCGGATAAGAAAAGAAATTGTACGGCTTCGAGCGGAGAGAGAAGAACAGGTGACCTATAGGAAAAGATAAAAGTTCATCATCATCATGACTCTTGAGAGAAAGAGGAGTAACGGATTCCTCCAACTAATTGAGAAAAACTAACAAGAAGGCAATTAAAAATAAATGAATGAATGAATAATTAAAACAGAAGAATCATTGTTTTCACGCCCTCGTTGATCCGAAATGGCGGAGACTCCGCCTCTCCCAATTCACAACCCCCGAAAAGAGAAAAATCAATACGTCTACGGCGTAGAGACAATGCACAAAAATTCCGCCCGATAACAGCTGTTGCAGACAACGGGGGGGATGGAAGCACGAATCGATTGCTGAAAAGGGCGCGCCCTTTCACTTGAAACAGTTTACTCATCATCACCAAACGAACGAAAAAATGCTTATCGAAAAGAATTTACTTGTACATACTTATTTACAATTCGCAAATCAATATTGACTTTGGTATATGTTTGCACTAGTCGTAATCGGATCGAAACGAACAGAGTCTACATTTCCTTCCCAAGATAAAAACTGTTCATAAATTCCACATAATTCCTATCCACAATCACAATAATTACAACGAAAAACAAACACATTTTATCACATTATTAATCGCAAAATATTCATTAACAATAATTCAATTACAAACAATATCTTGATAAACTGATAAATCCAAAAAAAAAATATAAAACTTAATTAATTAATTGTATTTCGTTAAATCAAATTACTTGATTAACAATAATAAGTTTCAACTAACAACTAATTTCTTATTGTCAACATAACAATATAAATTAGCAACAAGATTAATCAATCATCACCATGAACTTAACGTTTACAAATCAATAATTAACTCATTTTTTCTTTTCGTTTCATTAAAATTTAATTGAGCTGCGAATATAACAGTTTACGTCGCAGCACTTAACAAATCCTTTTGTCATTCACGAGTTTTCCAACACGACGCAAAATGTTTTCATTATTAACGCTTACGTTTCAATTTACGTACGTTTTCTGTTCGTCTTACTCGAATTTCCATTGAAACTTGTATAATAAAAAAAAAATCCGAATGTTTTCATTATTTTCAAAAGACTTTTCCTCGAAATTTTCATTATGTTTTATCAATTAGTATTTCTTAAATCAATAAATATTTTCATCAAAATTTGTACAAATTAATGAAAGTTTGACAAACTTTACAAATATTTTAATGAATTTCATTTTCAAATTGTTATTCCTCAAAAATGTTCATTTTTCATTAAAAATAACAACTAAATTTCAATTCCATATGCAATAAATTTTTTTTTAATGAATTTCATTTTCAAATTGTTATTCCTCAAAAATGTTCATTTTTCATTTAAAAAAAAACAACTAAATTTCAATTCCATATGCAATAAATTTTTATAATTTCTATAATTTCTTTGAAATAGTTCATAAAAAAGATAAATAATATTATTAATTATAAGTTATATTAATTTCAATTAGTTTTCCTCGATATTTCCACGAAAGTTTAGTAATAAATTTAAAAAAAAAACGGATTATAATTAATAATGCAGATGTTTGTTTATTTATTACTCTTGCAAATATGCATGGAAACGAAATATTTTATAATTAGTAATGCAGACGCGTCGAGTTTTGTTGTTGTCGTCGTCTGTCTGTCGTTGTCCTTTATAAGGATGAATGGGAAGTGAATTCCAATAGGAAACACAACATTATTATTATTGCAAAAAAAAAGCGTTGAAAAGTGCGTTACTTTTATCGCGGAAGAGGAAGAAAGAAAGAAAAACGAGTGAAACTTTCAACAATGCGAAAGAGGAAGTAGTAAGCGGGAAGTGTAATCCGATCTAATTGGAAGCCTTCGGGCGTTGGCCAAATACAAATTGTAAATATTTTGCAATTGCTTCGAAAACTTAAAACTGTAAACTGAATTTGTTTGACAACGAAATCTAAACTGTTTGTAAATAACTTGATTGAATCATTCAGTTTTGTATAGAGATTGAAGGATTATTGATTTTCTCGTTTGCTGAAGAGTAGAATGGAAATTGGAGAAGACCATTCATTGTTTGATCACAACAAAGCAGAGGAAAAAAATAATAATTTGAACACAATGTGAGGAGACTACTTGGAATGCATCGCATCCGCACCTGCTTCCTGTGCAGACCCGAGCTTCCGTTTTCGGTCGCGAAATGAATAAATAAATAATAAAACGTCAATACTACAAATCGATCGATCGGTTATTTTTCAAGAAGATGCAAAGAAATCATATGAAATTATTAATAAAAAAAAAGTAACGTTTCTTTTTGTTGTAAATTGCAAATTTTTGATATATTTTTTTTTCATGATTATTTCTTTGGGATTAGTGAATTTTTGCGTTTTGTATGAAAATCGCGTTTTTTTTTTGGGGAAAGCGCTAATATTTTAATTAAAAAAAAGAAACAAAAATGAGTAATGATAATAGGAAGGACCGCACCCCACGTCTGACAGCACCACCTTCCGCTGCAGACTGTAACTAAAGTGCCGGTGTACACACACACCGTTTGAAAATCCTCTTTTAATTGTTTTGTTTTTTTCTTTTGTTTTTCTTTTCTTTTCTTTACAAACTTATCGCTCACCTTGAGTTGAGAATATATCGATCTGTTGGATCTTGTATAAAGAGGACGACGAAAATCCGGATTGGAACTGCGCGAATTCGTTAAACTTCTCGGCTTTCCCGTTCGTACCGAACTGCAGAGGTGGAATGAAGTCTCGTCTCGTGTCCTGGAGTTCTCCAGTATGGGGCGCATCCGAGCAGGCCTCGACGGTCTTCCAGTGGAGGGGACGAAACGCACTTATTCGCTCGCACAAAAAGGGGCTCCTCTCCTTTACTTTACCACTCTTTCTTTCTTTATTCGGACCAGTAAATTCGATGACTCAGATGCGTGACGAAATCCTATTTATCCTTGTTCTTTTATTGTGATTCCTCATCAGTTCCTCTCTTTCTCTGCATATGCATATACAACATTTTTGGGGAGAAGACTCGTTGACTCCACTCTTCCAATTAAAACTTCTTAATTGTTGGACTTCTGCAAAATCTCAAATCACTACATCAAAATTTGATCCTCTTGAACTCTGCTCACCTTTTTATTCATCTCCAAACACCTGGCAATTCCTTGTTCACTCACTGTCTAAATCCAACTTAGAAATTCACTAAAAAGAAAACAAAGCAACCTGAGAAGACGCATTCCTCAAAGCAATTCACAACTAATTTCAAGAATCAAGTAATACGTGGAAATCCTACTCATTTGGAAGCTTATCAACAAATTTCAATTGTTTTCTTCTTTAATAAACATATGAACACTTACTTTGTAATGAAATGTACTAAATTCGAAGTTTACTTAATTGTATTCATATCAACTATTTTCTTATTTAATAAACATATAAATACTTACTCTGTAATTCAATTTAAAATTATTTTCAAAAATTTAAGTTTTGTGAGTAAATCTCTCAAAAATTATTTAAAAAAAATAAATAAAAGTGTACTAATTTAAAGTTTACTTAATTGCGCTTTTATAAACTAATTCTAATTTGTTTTCTTAATTGATTATCAATTTTTAATTAAGTTTTAATCTAAATTAATATATTGAATTCATAAGATTTAAAGAATTTTTTAATCAAGCAACACGTGAAAATAAACGAATTTGTCAACTAATTCCAATTGTTTTCTTTTTTAGTAAAAATGTAAAAAGTGTACTTTGTAATGAAATTTCAAAATTCAACACAAACTTTAAATTTATTTGATTTTTCTGAATGAAATGTACTAAATTCGAAGTTTACTTAATTGTATTCATATCAACTATTTTCTTATTTAATAAACATATAAATACTTACTCTGTAATTCAATTTAAAACTATTTTCAAAAATTTAAGTTTTGTGAGTAAATTTCTCAAAAATTATTTAAAAAAAAAGTACTAATTTAAAGTTTACTTAATTGCGCTTTTATAAACTAATTCTAATTTGTTTTCTTAATTGATTATCAATTTTTAATTAAGTTTTAATCTAAATTAATATATTGAATTCATAAGATTTAAAGAATTCATTTTAATCAAGCAACACGTGGAAAATAAACGAATTTGTCAACTAATTCCAATTGTTTTCTTTTTTAGTAAAAATGTAAAAAGTGTACTTTGTAATGAAATTTCAAAATTCAACAGCAAACTTTAAATTTATTTGATTTTTCTGAATGAAATGTACTAAATTCGAAGTTTACTTAATTGTATTCATATCAACTATTTTCTTATTTAATAAACATATAAATACTTACTCTGTAATTCAATTTAAAATTATTTTCAAAAATTTAAGTTTTGTGAGTAAATTTCTCAAAAATTATTTAAAAAAAAAGTACTAATTTAAAGTTTACTTAATTGCGCTTTTATAAACTAATTCTAATTTGTTTTCTTAATTGATTATCAATTTTTAATTAAGTTTTAATCTAAATTAATATATTGAATTCATAAGATTTAAAGAATTCATTTTAATCAAGCAACACGTGGAAAATAAACGAATTTGTCGACTAATTCCAATTGTTTTCTTTTTTAGTAAACATGTAAAAAGTGTACTAATAGAGGAGTTTACTTAATTGCGTTCCTAATCAACTGATTCTTAATTAATAATCATATAAATACTTACTTTTTTGTAATTAAATTTCTAACTAAATTAATAAATTTAAGCGAACAAAAGAAAAACGTATTTAAAGAATTCATTTTAATCAAGCAACATCTGGAAAATAAACGAATTTGTCAATTATAATTGTTTTCTTATTTAATAAACATGTAAAAAGTGCACTAATAGTTTACTTAATTGCGTTTCTATCAACTAATTTTAAATACTTACTTTGTTGATACAAAGTTAAAACAAAAGAAAAACGTATTTGAATAATACATTTTAATCAAGCAAGTTGTATTCTTCAATTGTTTTCTCTTGATCAATAAACACATTAAATTTTAATGAAAATATTAATTATAATAACTTCAAATTTCCAACTAAATCGATGTTGTTTAATTAAAATCCAGGAAGACAATCCTATCAGTGTTTTGTTTCTTCGACAAAGAAACATAAACGGTTTACATTCTTCTTTTTTTTCTTTCCGGGAAAGTCATCGTTGCCTGGTGACGCACACAACCCAATAACAATAACAGAAAAAAAAGAAACAACCTTAATGAGGCAAGCTTCGATTTTCATTCCATAAACTGATTCAAAACGTTTAAGACTATATATATGCAGTAATAACAAGTAATGAAATAATTTAACAAAACAAATTTACAGTGAACTCAATATTATGCATATTTAATACAAACATTATTTCCGTTATACGTTTTTGGAACGTTGTACTCTTATCAAACAAAGTTTCTGTAGTCGCGTGGCCTTCGCTTATATCTGCTGGTTAAAGTTTTTTTTTTTTTTTTGATAACTTCCAATATTCTTATTGTTTCACATTTCTACGTGCTCATTAATAAACTTTGAATCTTTAGACTTAAATTCGTTATTGATAATATATATAGATTTCATTTGTTTCGAACAATCTCAATTGTTTCAAAATCTATAACGTATTATCAATTAATACTTTCGTTTCAACTCATTTGTTTCATGTGTAAACGGACGTTCGTAATTATGCAATTACTTTCGTTGCAATTCCAATGTAATTAATTTTTTAAAAAAGTAAATTTATTTGAGTAATTTCCGTTTGTTCACAATTACTTTTCACAATACTTAACTTAATTAATTTCATGAATAATCCAAGAAATTGCCCCAAAAAAAAATCATATTTCAATTTATTATGAAACGTATTCTACTTAAGATTTACTTTAATTAGGCTTAGAGTCAACGGAGCGCGCGCGCGCTTAAGAAGTGTACTTTATACACTGTCTTTGCTATTGTTGAAAATTTGTTGTTTCTTTTTGAACTAATTAAACGTTCGTTCGTTGCGAGTTCCGTTATGGAATTATGCAGCGACTCGATTCACTGATTTGTGAAATTTATGCAGAGTTGTTTGTATGTATGTACGTGCAGGCAGACGGTCTTTAGAATTTCTAAATTTAGTCGTTTTTGGGGGAAGCGAAACGACGGAAAAAAGGGCCCGAAATTCTTCTCTCGTCGCCGAGCTAAAAATAAGCCCTGTCGTCGGGGGTGAAGCTTATTTATACGGTATTTATTTTCGTGAAGGCAACGCGTCGGGATGAAGGAAACTTTCCATCATCGAACAAGACATATCCATTCTGGACGCGATGTTTCATCTTCCGAACTAAATATAAACAAGAGTTTCCGTCAATTGTTTCT